GTGAATATAAATAGTAACTTATAATTTAGGATATATCTTTTTTATTTCCATTTGAAAGTCTAAAAGGTCTCGCTAATTAGAACTTTACGCATATGAATGCCACTATATTTATATATGTAAGTAAATGCGTCTGGAAGAAAAGAAAAATATGTATCAGGGACTTCGTTCTTGTTCATAATGTAATAAGTAATAAAATGCTGACCCAAATTGAAACTAATTTTAGAAAAATCTTTTGGGGTTAAAGCAAATCAGTTTGCATGGCCAACTACTGGACCGACTACTATGCAATTTTTTTTGGTATAGTATTCTTTGCGTGTATCTGCTATATATATATCCCATGTCTATATTTATTGTATTAAAAACGAATGGTTGGTCCAAGTGTATTTAATAAAATACTGATTGATCATGACATTTTAATTGAAAATATCAACTCTAGTGTAGTCTTTAGAGAGTCCATTTGGATCCTACTTTAATCTCTAATTTACTGTTTTTAACCATGTCATCAACGAATCCAATAAGAAAAAACCGAAAAAATAACATACAAGAAGTGAAAACAAAGTAGTTAATGCATATTAGTTCAGAAGTTTTTTTACTGTTAATCCTATATTGGTATAGAATTTCAGGGTTTAACTTTTTAACTTATTGAATAATTTCGCTAACTAATTAAGAGTATATATGATATATATTATAATATGATTTCTCAATTAAGTTGCATCAAAAGTTGATAGTTTAATACAGAAGGAGATAAATATGATTTATCAAAAAAAAAAAAACTATATATAGGAAAAAGTAGAAGATACTAATGAATCTTTAAAATCGAAGCCGGCTCCAGAGTAGCCGAGCTGAAAACCATGCGATGATTTAGATCCTAAACCAAACTCCCATGCGTAAACCGGTGTCTAAACTAACCATTTTGCATTTAATTATATATATATTTTTAAAAAATCTCCCGAAATTGTTGAAATAACTCAAGAGATATCTCCAACACTTCCTCTAGGGTTAACCTGTCGTCTTATTTAAAAGCCGGAGATGGAGTGAGAAACCATCTCTCTCCCTCTCCCTATCTATCTCTCTCTTACAAATTTCGATTTCTCGGGGGAAAAATATAAGACTTTTGAAACCTCTATCGCTAATACTTCCCGAGAAAACCTGATGAATTAAAAGTTCATATTTTTTCTTGGTGTTAGATGAATTAGTCAATTCTCTGTTTCCATCTTATATGGATAGTGTAGACACAGAGCAAAGATCCTTCTTTGGAGAAAAACAAGATGAGAGACGAGAGAGGATCGTTTCTTCACGTATTGGTCGTAGGTAGATCTGAATCGATAACGATATAGGCCTTGATCTAACCATTATATATAAACTTCATTTCTTCTCAAGTAATTTTCAATCCCTATAGTTCCGACCAAACAAGATGAAGAGGTCACGTGGAAGCTCCGATTCTTTAGCCGGTTTCTTACCAATTCGCCATTCTACAACAGGTAAAAAGACTCTTGTAATATAAACTCTTATACAATTCTGAAAACTGCAACTATGTTTGTTGATGTTCATTAGAAAGATACTAATGAAATGTTTTATTATATGATTGTTTTATTAATTTAACATTTTAAGTAAAGATGTGTTTTTTTTTCCTGACAATTCATACTATCGAGACGTTATCCTGACAAAGTTTCGTGATTACCGTGACATCAGAACTATTCCACTACTTGATTGAAATTATCCGTTTACGAGATTCGTTAAATATATAGACTATACACTATATATAGTACTACTATTTTTAATGTACCACCTTGATTAATGGTTTTATCAGACAAACAAATAAGTCCAAGACCAACAACCACTGGCTTTCTCTATTCCGGCGCCGGAGACTACTCGCAGATGTTCGACGCATTAGAAGACGACGGAAGTCTAGAAGACATCGGCGGTGTTGGACACGCGTCTTCTACGGCGGCGGAGAAAAAACGGCGGTTGGGTGTAGAGCAAGTGAAAGCGTTAGAGAAGAATTTTGAGATTGATAACAAGTTAGAGCCAGAAAGGAAAGTGAAGCTGGCCCAAGAGCTTGGGTTGCAGCCGCGTCAAGTGGCGATCTGGTTTCAGAACCGCCGTGCTCGGTGGAAGACAAAACAGCTTGAACGTGATTATGGCGTTCTTAAGTCAAACTTTGATGCACTCAAACGCAGCCGCGACTCGCTTCAACGCGATAACGATTCCCTCCTTGGACAGGTATAGTCTTTGTGACATTTTTTCTTTTTGTTAATAAATTTGAACGTCTAGGCACACCCAAAAGAAACATGTTAGCCAGTTTTTTTAACTAAATCCATCAATAATTCGGTCAATCAAAGAAACAAAAGTTTTGATTGTTTGTGTGTGAATTGCCTTTAATTACGTTAATTTTCTTGTGCATTTTAAGATAATAGGTTTTCTTAATTACAAATGAAAAAACAAACACAATCACAACAGAAGAAAACTTTGAACATTAATAATATACTCAAGTTTTAAACAAATTCAGAGATAATCCATTATTTTGGTAAACTATAAAGATTATTGATATTTATAAACATGACATTTATGCAGATTAAAGAGCTGAAAACAAAACTTAACGTGGAAGGGGTTAAAGGTATAGAAGAGAACGGCGTTGAAAAAGCCATGGAAGCAAATCAGGCGGTGATGGCTAGTAATGAAGTCGTAGAGCTAAACCACCGTCTTCCGCCGCCTCCAACGCATATTCCTACTGAAGATCCGACATCGGAGCTCGCATACGAAATGTTTAGCATTTTTCCACGCACCGAAAACTTCAGAGAAGATCCTGCCGATAGCAGCGACGACTCAAGTGCGGTTTTGAACGAAGAGTATAGTCCCACAACCGTTGAAGCAGCGGGCACGGTGGCGGCCACGGCGGTTGAAATGTCGACGATGGGTTGTTTTAGCCAATTCGTGAAGATGGAAGAGCATGAAGATCTGTTTAGTGGAGAGGAAGCTTGCAAGTTGTTTGCGGACAATGAGCAATGGTATTGCTCCGATCAGTGGAATTCGTAAAATGTGGGGGCAGAATTGAAAAAATATAAAAATTGGGGTAGGAAAATCAATTACCCAAAATGTTGGGGTTTTAGTTGAGAAAAGGGAAAATGACGCGAGAGTGTAAAAATCAAGAGATCACGTGTGGTTCCATGCACGTGTGGCCGTAATCTTTCCAAGGTTAAGAGAGGGGACAAAAAAAAAACTCTGAAATGATCGGTAATAAAAAAAAATTATGTGACAAAGAAATCGTTTTTTCGTCGTTTATAATATTATTTTGAATAATTTTACTTAGGTGAATGCCTTGTTCTAAAAATTGGCCGCTTAGCCGCCTAGGCGCTGATCGAAGGAGCACCGCGGCGATTTTGTCCAAATCGGTGAGAAAAATCGGAGATCCGATTTTTTGTCCGCCTGGACCGCCTAGGCGGCCGCCAAGCCCGCCTAGACGGCGCCTAGCCCATTTTTTTATTTATTTTTTTTTCATCTAAAATTCAAAACGTTCTACTTATGTTCGTAATTTATATAAAAATCATAAATTTGAAATTAAAATCTTGTTTTCATGTGTTTAATACAATTTTAAAAACAATATTATATAAATTACTTAATTATAATGGATTAATATGTTTTTAAAAGACTAAATAGCCCCTAAAACTAATCCCCAGATAGTCCCACGTGGTAGCCGGCTCAGTTATCGACGAAAACCTCGTGACCATCTTTCTTTTTTTTTCTTTTTTGGGGGGGG